CACATCCCGCCATCCACACGCATTGGCTATACCCAACTGGCTACTGTCACAGCTTATTATGCAGTGAGCCAGTGTAAGGAGAAAGAGGATAAATGTATTTATAGATGAATCAGATGAACTTATTAATAGATATCCTGTACACTGCAGGGAGATGGACCCCAGACTCGTCCATTCATGCAGGCACACACACACACACACACACACACACACATCTTGATGAAAAGCTTTGGAGCTGATTTTATCTTCCCTTATCTTTAACTATTCCACACCATCTCCCAGAGACACACACACACACACACACACACACACACACACAAAACAGATGTACCGTCTTTGTAGATGAGCGCTGATCTCTTTTAATATTTCAACGATATACACAAAACGTCCTCTCACTCTTTTCAAAATCTTCATCTGGAAATAGGTGAGATCTTCTAAGAATAGGAGTTCTGTCTGATTGGTGACCAAGTCTGTTTACCTGCATTTAAAACAAACATTTTACATATATTGTATTTCTGGTTATGGTATGCAGTTCAGGAGGCACAGTGAGTCATCCTCTGATCAGAGGGTTGGCTGTTTGATCAATCTCCTATTCTGTATGCTGAAGTGTCCTTCAGCAAGAAACTGAACCACAAATTGCCCCTGGAGAAAGTGTTTCACATAGATGTGTAAATGGTCCTCAAGAACAGAAAAACGCTATATAAATACAGACCATTTCCCATTTACATAGTGTCGTAGAATGAGGCAGCAGTGCAATATTTAAAACACACATAAATGTTGGTTTGAATGTTTCTGAGAATTTTTCTAAGAGTGGACACAAAACAAAAGAGATCCAGTGAGCAGCAGCTTTGTGTTGATGATAGAGGTCAGAGGAGAAGAGGCAGACTGGTTGGAGCAGACAGAATGGTTGTGGTAACTGAGGTAATCACTCTTTACAACTGTGCTGAGCAGAATGAATGGCACGTCCAGCCTTGAGGTGGGTGGTCAACTCTGGACAGTTGAAGGCTGCGAAAAATGTATCCTGGTCTGATGAATGTGGATTTGTGCTGAGGCTGCTGATGGTAGAGTCCCAATCTGGAGTTAACAGCATGAAGCCATGAAGCCAACCTGCCTTGTGTCAACACTCCAGGCTGCGGGTGGTTGTGTGATGGTGGGGAATGTTTTCTTGGATACTGCTTACCATGTTCATCCCCCTTATAGTCACTGTTCACCATCTTCTAATGGCTTCTTCCTGAAGGACGATTCTGCATGTCACAGAGCAAAAGTCGTGACGAATTGTTTAGTGAACTTCCGATAGAAAATGTAAGATGTGGTAGAACAGGAGATCTGCATGAAAGAGCAGCTTAACTGATGTGATGCCTTCATGTCAATAGAAACATTAATTAAACACAGAGAACAGCTGAGGCATCTGGTCACACAGACAAATATAGATGTTTATATGATGATGCTACATATGACAAATCAGGAAATCACCACATAACCACAGATTATGATTTTGCGCCGAACATATAATTTCACCCAGTAGTAAAAGCCAAAATGTCAAACACAGTCTCACAGTGGAAAACTCATGGACTCACCAACGTCAGTAGGATACCTTGTCCAGGAACCAACAAATTCTGAGCTGCTAGCATGGCTGTCTGTGTGGGTTTTCTCTGGGAACTAGGCTGATTGGAGACTGTAAGATTGTCTGTAGGTGGGATTGTTGTGATGGAAGGTTTCTGGAAGCTGGTGAAAGGAGAACTCAGGCAACAGCTGATGTCTTATGTATATAGCAATTGTCACCCCCAGTCTCAAGATGTCTCCCACAGCATCCCCATGTATATCCTTGTGTCACCTATTTCAACAGAACATCCATGAATGGCTACAATTGCTGTCACTCTCTATGTTGCATGTAAGTGTTCGCATCCTATATATTTCAGCCTAAAGCATGCTTTCCTAAACCACGCTGTGTCCTTACATCTTTCCACTGGTGTAATATACAAAAGAGTTTGGTGCCTCTCTGTCTGAGGCATCTGAATTAGATATGAAAGTCCATGACACTACAATGTACTGCTAGTTGACCTATAATCCTACCATGGGTATTGTTGGGAGAGAAGGGAGTATGTGTGGAATGAGACAGGCTCTATTCTCATAATGGTGTACAGATGGAAAGTGTGAGGATGGATTTCTCAAAAATTGTGAGTTTGAATGGCTGTTTGTCTCTGTATGTTGACTATGGGATTTGCTGGCGACCTGTCCATGGTGTACCCCACCTCTTGCCCAATGTCAGCTATGATTGGCTCCAGTTCCCTGAGACCCTCAAGAGGTAAAGCAATATAGATAGTTAGTTTCTAATCAGAGAGATTTGTTCTCCTGCTATTTATTTAAAAAAATTACTGATGACGAAAGTTTGTTCTCCGTCTTGTTTGTACACCATGACTGGTGGTATCCTGTCCCTGGTATTACTAAGGTGAAGAATAGAACACGTTTCTGTTCTTCTTTATTTGTACTGCAGTTTGTGGGGCAGCTGGACAGTCCTCCTGACACACAGAGGCTCTATGGTTCAGATGATCTAAGTCACTCTGCAGTGAACGTCACATGGTCTGAAAGAGTGCAAAGTTACCTAGTTACCTTACACTGGCAAAAACATGACGAGTGAAGAGGGAACTTTGTGAGTTAAACAGAATTTTTTCAGAACCGCTTTACCAACTTGATCCTCTGAACATGAACATCTCCTGAGCAACAGATGTTTGAATGGAGGGGGGACTTTGTTATATGAAATCTGTGGTCACAAAGAAACACTTGAGATGCAAAAGCAGGTGTTCAGGGGTGACTCCATCCATCAATCTCAATGTTAATGGTCCAGTGTGTAAGATTTAGGTGAAAGGGAACTATTGGCAGAAATTTAATGTAGAATAATCCTCATGATGTTTTCAATAGTTTGTTTCATCTAAATTATATGAATTGTAGTTTTCTTTACCCCAGAAAAGGTCCTTTATATTTAAATACTTTATATTTACATCGAGGGGGTCCTCTCTACGGAGGCTGCCATGTTTTTTACATTAGTCCAGACTGGACAAACTAAACAGGTTCTTTTTCATGTTTGGAAGGAGAGGGTGAGGTGAGGGGTGGTCAGCTGCAACATGATATAACAGATATAACAAAATTCTACACACTGTACCTTTAAGGTCACCGGTCAGTAAGGGTGCAGGGTGAGAGGCCTTGATAGACTTGTGGCTGATAGTTTGATGGCTTTGTCTGTCTGCTGACCCATCCATCGTTTCATCTCACTGTTTACATTGTGGCTGATGAATCATGCAGATTGCTTTTTTTTCTCCACCCTTCAATACTAAGAGCGTGCACTCACACACACACACACACACACACACACACACACACACACACACACACACACACACACACTTAAATCTATTGTCTATGCATTAGGCATTTAGAGTGTTTAGGAGTGCTTGGTTGATGTCTAATAGGTCTCAGACTGAAGGCTACACAGCTTTTATAGTTCAAGGGCACTCAGATCTGAGACTGCAGGCCTGATACAACATCAACATCCCAAACTGTCATTTCGATGCCAACACACATGTAGACTGAGACGTACACACCCAGCTGGTCATGTGTGTGTGTGACCTTCTGACTTCCCCTCAAGGCCACAGTAAAGGCTGAAGTGATGTGTAAGCAGATCAGAAGCAGTGCGGAGGAGAGGCGATCAGAAGCAGGCTGGAGAGTGTTGAAGTGTGACACAAAGATAAGCTCCCCTCTCACTTGCCATTTCCCTCTTCACCTCCCCTGCATCCCTCCTTCCATCCATCCTCCCTCTCTTCACCCCTCCATCCATGTCACTCTCTTTTTCCCCCTACTCCTCCAACTCCTTCCCTCGATGCTCCTTCCCCTCCGATGGTTAATTTATGGAGTCTGCCTGAACACGCACCCTCTCCATTATTAATATAACATTAGGGAGACGGAGGCAGGAGAAGGGAGGAGGCACAAAGGAGGAGAGAGGAAAGATGTGGGAGACACAGGGAAGTGGACAGAGAGTGAGGAGGAAACAAGTGGAGGGAGGACGACGGAATGTGATGGGTGAGTGAGAGAGAGAGAGACGGAGAGATGGAGGCCACAAGAGATGGAGATTGACAGAAAGAAAAAAAAAGGTGGAGAGAAGATGACAGGAATGGGGCAAATGAGGAGCTTAGAGAAGGACAGCCAGATTTTCCCAGAACAGCTGCACGACGGAGGGTGACAGATGAGGAGGGAGAGGAATATTGTATAATGTGCAATGCTGTTGGCACACATGCTGTCCCGTGAAGAGAAGCAGGAGGCATGAGTGGAGGAGGACAGGGGAAAGGAAAAGACAAAAAGAGAGACTCAGACGTGTCAGTGCTGATCATGTGACTCCTTTATCCTGGACAAACACAGACACAAATATTTTTGTGAGGACACTCATCGACACAATGAATTCCTTTGGCCCCTTACTGTAACCTCAACCCTTTGAAGCTGAGGATCAGCCAAAATGTCGTCACTTTAGGCTCCATGATGCTCTCTCTCCGCCTCTCTCTCACACACACACACACACACACACACACAGACACACACACACACACACACACTTGAGACAGGCAGACTGGAATTTTACAAGTTTAATGCAAAGAGAAGCTTTGTACAGGACATTTAAATAAAACTTTGACAACTGTCTCTCAGCAGAAAGATCTTAAACATACTTTGATGATTAACAACGACGGCTGAGTTTTCACAACTCAAATCACTGGACACATTACTGTTTTGTCTCTTTCTTTCTAACTGTTAAAAATAAGGGGCAAGGTGTCCTCAAGTCACCTGAACACTCACATTGGTTTTACACTCCACAGAGGCCAACCGCATTTCAGAGCTGGAGCTACCTCAGTGCTATCTGGGCTTTTAGCTCTGTGCTGCCACACTGGTGTGTTCACAGATGGGCTCATTCTGAGAATGACCAAGGTTCTGGTTGTGAATAAATCTCAGTGAAACACAGATGTGTTTTTTGATCATTGGGTTTATTCAATGTATCTGTCAGACATATTTATACATACAGTTTACTGTATCGCGAGTAAAAAAAGCATTGGCAACAGAGCATAATTGAACGAGTTTATTTTTTTTTTAATAGTTTGTCCATATATACTATAGACAAATCTATAGAAGAATCTTTTCAAAATCCTTGGGTTTCACCTTGATTGAAAATGTTTGGTTTATATTATTACAAACCGCACATTTGAAAGTCCATCAGTGTTTTTCTAACTCATAGCAGCTGCAGTGTGCAGTAAAGCCTTGTTTGTTGTGAAGATATCAAAATGAACCCTTTTCATCAAATTTGTTGAGTCACATACAGCACAAAGGAAATGCACCAAGTAGACACAAATTAAAACAGGACATCAACATGAGGACAGTCATCATCAAAAAAAAACATTCTCATGAACAATCACACAATGACACTTGTACTGTCCTCTCGGTTTGGTCCTGGTGTTCACATTGATCTTCTATCTCAACCTCATTTAGCACTGACGCCAACACCATCATCTGTTCTCATACCTCAGCCTGAAGCACACTGCTTCCTGCTGAGAATGTGGATCCTGTCAGTCTCAGTCAGAATAAACTGCAGTTTGTGGAAATTAAGAAGACATTCAGTGCAACAACAATGGAGCTCTATAGCTCAGTTGAATAACATTCAACTTTGGTACACAGGCGACAATTACAACACTGAAGACAATTCATTGGTTTTGATTGATATTAAAGTGTGTCATTTAAACAGCAGACATTGTTCTTAATGATACAACAAATTACCTCTCTATTTCCCATCAGCTCGATCTTCTTCCAAAACTTATAACCATCTTTTAACTACTTATGAGATGTATCTGGAAAAAGAACATCAAAAAAACCTTGAAAAACCACTTGTATTGCAAAATACTGCCACTTATGGTGAAGAGGTCATTAAGCCATTGAGTATACTTTTTAATATAACTATGTGATGTCAAGATGAGTTTAAATATGTATCTTGAGACACATATTTGTATGCAACACAGAAAATCAATGTTTTCTTGTGATGATGTAGATTTATGCAGCAAGGTGTTCTGAATGATAAAATGTTTTATAGTCAAATGAACTAATGTGTTAAGTTCAGTGCCGTCTCGTAACAGATACTGTATCTAAGTGATTCTGAGACTAATACCATTCCTTTTCATGGATTTATGGATTTATTGGTGAATTACTTTTAGGCTGGGGATGAATTTATGATTACCCAATCAAACAGTGGTATCTGTAGTTAAAACATGATGTGTGTGATAAGAATGCTGACGTGTTGAGAGATATTCCTGCTGCTGCTATTTCCAGCACATTATGCTGCACGGCTGAGTCATCAAGAAATGTCTCCCCCAGGTGGCAGCAATCGGTAATGAATTTGTTTGTCACACCTCACAGACTAACTGGGGCAATACAAAGTATTCCCTCTCAGAAACAGAGAGGCGCAGAGGCATGTGTGTGTGCGTACACACACACTTTCCTGCTGCGAGAAAATAACACACAACACACATAACTCTTGATGTGTCTCCCATGTGCAGGTCTTGTTGCCGTGTCCTTTAGATACACTTGGCCTCCATGTCATAGAGTTGAAGAAGGTCTGAGATCACAGCATCGATGTCTGATTTGGTTGCGTCCTCACACAGCACCTACAAACACACACACACGCAAGCGCGCACGCACACACACACACACACACGCACCTGGTCTCAGTAAGCAGTGGACATCAAAGGCCTACACACCATTTCAAAGGACCTAGATTTTATTGCCTTGAGGACTGAAGAATAAAACCATAACAAATTCTGACTGTCCCATTTGCATTTGTGTACAGTAATTTATAAAATCAAAGCTCTAACAAAAGAGAGTTAATTTGTAAATTGCTTGACAATAGAAAACTATAACGGCCACCACCTCTCAATTAATACTTAACACTCAGAGACACTTGTGCTTTGTGGACTGACTGGAGCTGGCTGGTCAGTGGGTATGTCACTTTGGTTCAAGTTCAAGGTTTGCTGTTGGCATGACCCTGAAATCTAGGGCGCATCTGTGCAAGGCTACATCAACTGTCTGTCCGTCATATTGTAAAAAGGCCCTTATGGACTAAAGTGAATAATGTACATGCTTTAAATTCCTTAAATACTCTATACATTTCTCCCTGTTGCATTTGTTGTAAATGGATGCTTTATTAACAAGTTCATTTCCCAGGATTAAGTGCTTCAGCTCCCAGGATAGAAAATAAGTAATTGACACAATCTTCAGACCCAACTTCACGACATTTCAAACAAAAGCTCTGTAATTCTAAGTGACTCTATGGATATTACTGCCATGACAGAGATCAGCATCCCTGAATGTCTGTGTCAGTCTCGGTGAAATAAAAATAATCAAGCAATAATCTGAGGACGTAGAAGAGGACATGTAGAACTCAGTCCACTGTGTCTGTTGGCTGTGTAGGTAACTGTAGGTAACTGTGTCTCGTTTTATGATCAAATCACTAAGTTACATAGTCACTTGCACACTTGTTTCTGATCAATCGTTTCTCTCTTCAATCTGTAACTGGGACTATGCAACAAACACACACCTGCCACCACTCCTTCTCCCCGACAGGCAGCTCCACTCCGTAGCTGTTTAAAGCCAGGTACAGCGTTGCTATGGCAATGTGTTGAGGTGTGTGGCGGATGCACATGTCTCCGTGGTAACAGTCTCTAAGCAAAGCCCACGAAGTCTCAGTGATGGGGGTTCGAGACCAAGCGTGGCGGTTCACCAGCGACTTCACAGACATTAGGTAGTGAAGTAAATACTGAGGAGGGAGGGAGGGAGGGAGAGAGAGAGGGAGAGAGAGAGAGAGAGAAAATCCAGTCATTCTGTATATGACACATTCTACATTTGAGTCAAACAGAAATTTAATTTGTTTTAGTTTTGGCTGCAAGTTAACAATGCGTTCAAGGGTAACCACTTAATCCCAGTTAAAATAAAGAAATGAGAAAAGCTTAGATAAGGCAGCATTTTCACCTCATATTTGAAAACACCTCTTCGATGGCAATCGTAAACCAGTTGTACACATTGGGACAACCACGACATTACGACAGTAACTGAGACAGACATAGAGGCTGAACACTAAACAGAGGGGAAAGGGATACATACACATGCTTACACCTACCTTGTGAGGGTGTTCAAAGGAGACGTGGAAGTTGAGCTGTCGGAGGATGAGGAGCTCGCACTGCACCACGCTGTCCCTCAAGTCCCAGAACTCCTTGTCACATTCTAGAGGCGCACTGCCACTGTTGAAATACCTGTGGAGGGAGAGACAGAGGGGGACATGAGAACAGGGAGGGAGATGAGGGCAGAGGGTAATCGAGGTGACCACTCTGAAAGTACTTCTCTGCTCTGTTCAAACTGACGTAAAGCACTTGACACATAATAATGATCATCCTTAATCATGTTTGGAAAGTTGTGTTCTCTTCTCCTGTGTTGAAGCTCTGCAGCTACTTCAGAATTATTCTTTGTCATTAGTGAGTTCTCCCCAAACAGTTATACAATATACTGTCACTTTTGATTGTTTGTGTGCAGAATTTCTTTTTAGAACTTCGTGTTCATCCTACCTGGTTTATCTGCAATGATGACTTTGTAGAAGTAAAACTGAATTTGCTTTCTTACTGTGAGGATTATATATATATATATATATATACTCTATATATGACTGATTTACTGAACTGAGAGGAGTCAGTCTGAGTCACCGACGATAGTGTAGCTGCTAGTTTGCCGCGACCTGCTTTATACATCGCAGGCAAGGATATGTAACCGCATCAGAACTAGCAAGTTCTCCAGAGACGCTTCATCACCAGCTGCAAGAGTCTCCTCCTCGCGTGCCTTTATAGCCTGGTTGCACTTGATGGTGTGATGTCGCTTCAAGTGGTGAAACAAGTTTGTTGTGTTTGGGATTGTGACGTTGTTGTGCGCGCTATGGAACATAAATGCGTCATAGCATCACTATATCATTAATATTGCTATATGACACTTAAAAATGTATACCAGTATTATCATGGATGATGATGATATGATATGATAAGGCACATCCCTAACGGCAAGTAGTACCCACTTGTAACCAAGCATATTACCTGTGGCTTACGTTGATGATGTCACGGGTCCTGATATGCTGCTCCTCCACTTTTCCAGCCAGGTACAGACAGCTCATGGCCACCAGGTAGGGTTCATATGAACCAATGCTGACCCGATTAAAGAAACGGTGGTACAACACACACGCTGTGGCCACAGGCACCGAGCGCATGCCCAGCTTCACTCCTAAACAATGGAGGAGGGTACACACACGAATTCAAAGTGGTGTTTCATCATCTCTGATAGATTAATTCACACATATTCATATACTGCATTTCTATTTAGTAAGTGTGATTAAGGTCTGATAACAGTACTGCCAATGCTATTTCATTAATCATTTCAGTCACCATTTGAATCAGTGGAGAACATATCAGCAGTGTGTTAAGACAGAATAATGAGATAATACACATCCCTGAGACTCCAGAAGTGCGTTGTGGACTCAAGCACTTTACCCACCCCTCCATTGGCATAGTGGTGAGTAGATAAGTAAATTTTCATTTTTCAGTGAACTATCCCTTTAACCTTTCAAAGTCAAATTTAATAAAACAAATAAAAATGGAACTTACTAAATATATTTAATGAGAGGGTACTAACCTTCTCATATAATATATACTAATTATACTATAATAGTTTACAGTTTAATTTTATTTATACAACCTACATTATACCAGAGTGACTCCATAGAATAAATCAATCCCTTCTTAGAGCTCTGCCAAAGATATCTACTTAAACAGGCGACCTCACTCACATGTTCTGGAAATGGAATCAACTAAAAACAGTGCCATATTTGAATTTCTTAAGGAGATGAATGGATTTGAGATCCTTGGTTCACTTCAACTAGTCTTACTAGCTGACATAAAACCACAGACTGTGTATAAAGCATAAAAACTGATAAATAAATTGTTATAAATGTGTTATGGAAAAGTGTGGAACCTCTCATGTTTTATCTTAAAAGAAAGCCACGGCTGTGATACATATCGGGGTGGTTTCAGGAGCTATATGGGTAATATCTGCTGTGAGTGGACAAAAACAAACTTAACACACATGGGAATCAGTGTATGTGTGAAAGCTGAATCTTTGGACCAATGTGTGGAATTTGTATGAACCACAATAACTGTACCCTTTCTTATATTTAGTACTCGCTCACACTGAGTCTGGTTCAGTGTGTGATCGTGGTGTTTCTCTATAACCTTCAATGTCTCGATCTTCTAAGTGCCTTGACATAACGTATGTTGTGATCTGGCGCTTTCTTTATGAAACTGAACTTCTGGATTAACCCATGCCTGTGGTGGGTTGGGGGTAATAATCTATAAATACATTTCACCATCATACACCACTTTGAATCTTTGTTTCCAGGCAGAAGCGGGCTTCCATACTACACTGGCGGAACTGAGAGTTACCTGTCTCCATGATGAAGCGACAGACGCGGAAGTGTGTCTTGGTGTCCCGGGCGGGGTCACACTCCGACTCCCCGCCGGAGGGGTGTCTCCTGCCCGCCAGGCACGGCGGAGCGTCCGTGCTGGCAGACGGACGAGACACCGGAGCCTCCATGTGTCCCGGAGCATCCGCAGAAAGACAGCGAGTGAGAGTGTAAACTGAACTCAGCCACACGTAGCTGTGCCGTTACACGTGTCCCTTCATGCAGAGGTGGAAGGATACTGGCGTTAACTGCACGTCCCGAGTACCTACAACCTATTCATTCTCCATCACAGCGTCCATTACCGCGACGTGAGGTCGCCGGAAGAAAAACATGCTTGTCTTCATCTTTCCGGCAGACTAGGCACCATTAAGCGCTTTGCTGCCTCCCGGCGGTATGGAGGCATCGCTGCACTGTATGCCCCTGCTGCCCCAGCACACTACAGCACAGGAGATGACGCAGGCCACCACTGATTGATAAAACATCTGCTGCATGGTTCTGCAGACATTGAAAGACCCGAGCCTCCTGAGACGAAACAGGACATTGAGTGGAGGTGCTCCAGGACCAGCCCCTCCGGAGTCTTCATAACATGAGAGATCAGAGAAACTGGTCTGTAGTCACTGTGTGGGGTTTCTCTTTGGATCCCTAAAATGCAAATTTGTAGCTATGAGGAAATGCAGTAGTTCCTTTGCTCTCTTCTTCTTATACGTCCCATTGTCAAGCAGTGTTTTTGAAATGTTTTAGTCCTCACTTTGCCTATTTAAAAGCTCCCTTCTTTCCTTGGCGTGGAGTGGACAATGCATCGAAAACATCCTGTGCAGACAGAGATTGATGAAAAAGCTTTTTTCAAATCCTTTTAACTTGATGCAATAATTTTGCTCTTATTTTGCATATCACAGCCTCAGTGGAGCCTCCCCTGCTGGTGGAAGCACTCATCGCACCAGCCCTGCAGGAACACCTAGTCAAGCACCTCATAATTATTTATAACCTTCTCACACATACAAACCATTTCCCCCACATGTTCTCTATATGTCAATATTTCATCCAACCATACACCTAAGAGCTTAAAGACCTTAGGGTTCTCCTTACAGCTTTAGCCCCTGACTAGCCCACATATAATATCACATGTTTTCTCTTTGACGACCTGAAAACACTATTACAGGTGGTTTCCAGGTCAAAGATTCCAAAATAAAAGTCGTTTGTGACTATGTTTCAAGAACAGAGTTATTTGGGTTGAATTGTGCAAAAGCATATTAAAAAACATAAACTGTGTGTAAGAAAATAATCTAACTCTTAAAAGCTATACTTATGTAGTCAACTGCTATTTTATAATATAGGTCTATAGGTCTAAATAAGATGGTCAAATCCCTTGTACCTTTGAAGGCCTTCTGCACAATTTAAGTTACCTTTATACTTATATGTAAAACTAAAGAAACACTGCTGGCCACCACTCTACTGCCTCACAGAGTCCACAAACAGAACAACCACTTCGGTTTCGTGCCTATCAAAATAAGAGCACTAGATATAGGCTCTAAACAGCATATAAGTAAAGAACTTCAACTCCACTTGGAGCATTTACTTGTTACTAATTGTTTATATCTATCAGTTATCATTTTATCTATTTTATTTTTGTATTTTTATTTTATGTTAAATGCATAATACATTTAAATAATCATTGCTTGTTTTGCAGCCTTAATTACTATGTCATGTTGCTTATTAATACAAACAAGGTTGTATTTTCTGAGGAAAACACCATGAGCTAAAAACGACCATAATTATCAAATAAATAAATGTTTAACCAGATGGCCTTCTCCATCCATTCTTTATAGATTTTTATTTTATTTATTATGAATGTATTGTTCTATATTGGGACTGAGTGTGGTAAAAAGATGCGTGTATACGAGTAGTGGAGAACTTTGCTAATATGTTGGCTATTTTTCGTTCTATTTTCTTTTTCTGTCTATTTTCTTTCAATGATTTTCTGTTTGTGAGGGATTCCATATCACTCTTTGTCACTGCCATGGACATTTAAACCCAATAAATTACCCACAATGAAGCCTGCTAACCTCCGGTTACATTTTTCAAAATAAAAGTCCTAATGGAGCTCACAACGGGACAGACGATAAATAAACAAATAAGCAATAAAAAGTCATTCAAAGTGAGTTTTTAACATCATGTATCCACAAATGCAAAGTCAATAGCCACTTGTTAAACTGTGGTTCACAGAGTGCAGTGTGTCGGTGCCATCTGATATCTGACGAAATAGTTGCTGTTGCTATGCAACGAGTCAACAGACAGGGGGGGGTAGGCAGGCGCAGACATGTCGTCCAATTACTCAGCAAATCAGGTAAGATACAGATGTATACGGTATATATAGATGAGATGAACATATATATATAAGATGATATACACAAGATAAATATGTGCTCTGATCATGAAACTCTGCAGCCATGTTTGACTCACACATGTCTCTACATCCTCAGTATGAGAGTTCCTTCAGGACACACAGACACAACAACTGGTGTGAGAGGAAACCCTTCAAACAGGTACAGCTGCTCAACATACATCACTACTTCTGTCCTGGTGTGTTATATTTCACATTTCCTGCTAGTTGTGTGTGTGTGTCCAGGTATTACAGTACTTGGTATTGTTAGGGCCCAAGCAGCAACCTGTTGTGCGTTTTACATCTGGGCATATGTATCATGCCCAGATGTACAAAATCCAGGGGATCCATATTCCAAACCCAACAGCCATTTTGGATTAAGTGGTAATTTTTGGCGATTCACACACATCGTACTTTAACGAACCCCTCCTAGGACCTAGGGGATTTATTGGATTGACTTCTATTCTGGTCAGTGCAACCTAACACCTTAATGACTAAAGTTGTACTCTGTGAGTTTTTGTCAGAGGGCATGTCCGTGGTGTGGTGTCCAATTTTAATGTTACCATGTGAACCAGGAAGTTGTAATAACTTCAGTGTACATATACTTTCATTATAGGTCTTGCATATGGGTGTGGCAAAATGACTTGATATTTCAATTAAGCACCCCCGGCAGCATGTTTTACCAACATTCTGAAAATCTGTAGGTATATGAACCATGTCCAGACTTACTAAAAAGCATCTTGGATCCATACCCTAAACTGAACAGGAAGTTGCCAGTGTAGACTGTATTGCGTAATTTTGCTTGGTTTTTCCTATTATCAAAATTAACGTGTCCTACAGAGTAATCATATCAACCTTGAATTTTGTGAGTGCAATCAAAAGACATGATGTATGTGGCATAATGTTGAATCTTGAAGTATTGCAGTGAAATAAGAAAGTGGTTTTATAGTGTCATTATAGTATACATGCTTAATCGCCCAAACTTCAAATGTTGTATGTAGTTGTTAAAAGTTTAGACTTCATAACATTAATGTTTCATGAGTAAATGTTGTGCTAATCATACGTTTTCTTTCAACTGCATGCGTGGCCATATCGCCATGAAACAGGAAGTTCCACGAATTTAACTATACACTGTCCAATCTGCACAAGACTTAAATGTCCAGTGTGTAAGATTGAGGTGAAAGGGAACTATTGGCAGAAATGTAATGTAGAATAATCCTCATGATGTTTTCACTAGTTTGTTTCATCTAAATTGTATGAATTGTAGTTTTCTTTACCCCAGAAAAGACCCTTTATATTTAAATACTTTATATTTACATCGAGGGGACCCTCTCTATGGAGGCTGCCATGTTTTTTACATTAGTCCAGACTGGACAAACTAAACACCTTTTGAGTTTTAATGACAAATGAAGCTACCACAGTTTCTTTTTCATGTTTAGAAGGAGAGGTTGAGATAAGTAGTTTTGATGCAACATTCAATTTCAACACTAGATATCACAAAATTCTACACACTTTACCTTTAACATGTTTGATGACTTGGCTTAACCACATTTAAATGTCAAAATACCACAGTCATCGCACTCCCTACTAGCAACAGAACGCACGCCACAACAGGATGTGACATTCAACATTCAAATTTCCAGCAACTTCACCACAACCACAGCACATCTCCCTGTGTGGGGACTGCAAGGGCCCGACCATTGCTCCATGCAGCTTTAATTGGTAGTTTTTGGGACCTAAATCAGTTCACATTCACATTACAGGGACTTGTCTTCCTTATGGGGACAAAAGTCCCCATGATGTAAATCATTACATTTTGTTGTATGATTTAAGGCTAGGTTAAGATAAGGTTTGAGTTAGGATTAAAATGAAGGGTAGGGTTAGGCAAGTAATAACTAGGGTTAAGGTTTGAGTAAAATCAAAGTCAATGTAATGTCCTCTGAACTCATGGAGACACAACTGTGTGTGTGTGTGTGTGTGTGTGTGTGTGTGTGTGTGTGTGTGTGTGTGTGTGTGTGTGTACACGCTCACAGAGACCCCAAGCAAGGACTGGTCACACCATTGTAATTGCCAATGACAGAGGACACCTGCTCCCCGGAGCAGTTAAGGTGAGAGTGTACACATCTTTGTTAATTGTACTTGTGTGTTTGTAATTATCTCTCTCCCTCTTGTGTGTGCTACAGAGAGGCAGTGCATGGCCAGACTTTAAGGGGACCTGGGATCTTCCTTCTCGTATCCCAGCCTGCCACATCAACCCTACAGGCCGTTCTGTGGAGGGTCTCTACAGACTCAAGTCCTGGGGCATCGACCCACAGCACACAGGAACATCTCAGTCACACAGCTGCAGCAAGAAGTCAGAAAGGCTGCAGGATGTGAGCAAGCAGGTTGGTCAACTTTGGACTTTACACACAAATGTACATAAACGATTCATGAAACAGAAAGCTTCTCCGGTTACTCCTTCACCCTCAACTGTTCTGGCCTAACCTTAAGAGCTATTTAAAAGGCTGGAATTGTTTTTTTCACACAGTTTGGATTTGGAGGGTGTGTCGGCGATCAGAGTGGTCTGAACTGTTAATGTTCAGATGGACTTTTATTTGTCAATTTTTCTTTGAGCTGCATCTTGGGATTGATCGATACACCACAAAGTGTAGCTCAATGAGTAAACATACCAGTTTCAGGACAAATGTTTTATGTTTCCTCATAATACTGGTGTGTTAATGTGAGCAGATAAAGTTGATTACATCAGCAACTAATATTACAAGTAATACATTTTGGTTTTTATTGCACATTTCATTAAGATGTAATTAGATTTTTTTAATGTAGAAAAATAAATTAAACAAAAAAACACACCACAACAGAATCAAAAACACAGAGTGTTTGTGAGAAAGGGAGGGTGGATGAGTTCATAACACAGGACAAGACAATATGTCGCTGAACAAAAGGGCTCACATAACAACAAACTCTGTGGTGCCTTCAGGTGTTGGGTCTCTCAGGGGAAAAGTCATCTGAGCTGAAACCCAGTCGACAGTAACGTTGAGTTTCAGTCAAACGATCATTTGATCTGAGGTTGCGGTAGTGGGAGGGTTTAGAATGAAGGTTAATACATTTTTTTGTTTTTGGAACTTTACTGTCTACCAAGGGTAGAAAATAGCATTTGGCTCACCAAGGACAATATGTTCAATTTAAAATTAAAATTAAATAGT